CCCTGTTCTTATAGTTTTGACATGTGTCCAAATAATTGCTCAGGCCATGGAGAATGTAAGATCAGTAACAGCAGTAACACGGTTCAGTGTGAATGTTCTGAGAACTGGAAAGGTGAAGCGTGTGATATTCCTCACTGTGCTGATAACTGCGGGTTTCCTCACCGCGGCAGCTGCAATTCAAGTGATGTCAGGGGATGCTCATGCTTTGCAGAATGGCAAGGTAAGAGTCTTCCATTTTTGCTTTCCTTTTAATTCATAGGATGCTCTCTCAGTTGAAATTCTAAATTGAGTTTATTTTAGTGTATTTACTATTTATAGTCATCAGTTTTCGGGTAGCTTGGAAGCTTTCTCATCCCTTTATTCAGTTTCTTCAAAATCTAGTTTCAGAGACTGTGGTCTCTTTGAAATTGTGGAGCTTAACTTTTTTGGCAACTACTTTATGAAAATTGGAGAATTGCATGCCCGCCATAAGAGGACCTAGTAGAGAACCAGTCTGGGAGCTGGGATAAGAGTAGTCAACAACCATAGTATTCCTTCAGAAACCTTTTCTAACTCAGTTCAGAGAAAATTGGAGACTTTTATACATTAGAATCCTGCTTAGCCAGTAATCTACAGGAATAGATTAGGAAAGATGTTTGAGGGACTCTTTAAGGAGTCTATGAGACAGCTCTGACAGTGATTTTCTTTGCACACTTAACCCTTCCTTTGAATAAGGTGACCAGCTTTTAACATTGGTAAAGCGGGACACCATTGATAAAACTCATATCCTGGATAAATAGCCACATGGCAGCTGAAAACCGTATACCCTAGCTTGTGCATTCTTTCCAAAAATCGGGACTTTTTAAAAACGCCACGGGACACGGGGAAAATTGTTAAAAATCGGGACGTCTGGTCACCTTACCTTAGAAGCCTTTACTTTGGAAGGAAATGTATTCGTTTCAGTACTTTTTTCAGGTTATTCTGTAATTACTGCTTGATTGTCCTTCCTAATAGTTCATTGGGTAATTCTGTATGCAATCATTTTAAAGCTCTATTTTTCTGAACCTGTTTATTATACATTATTAGGTCCTGGATGTTCGATTCCTGTACCAGCTAACCAGTCATTTTGGACTCGAGAGGAATATGCTAACACAAAGCTTCCCAGGGCATCTCATAAAGCTGTGGTCAATGGAAATATAATGTGGGTTGTTGGAGGATATATGTTCAACCACTCAGATTACAACATGGTTCTGGCGTAAGTTGCTTCATACATTTTTGCAAGAGACTTAGTTCTCCATTTTGAAAATGTACAAAGTATGGATAAGCAAAAAGTAAGAAGTAATCATTTGTCATTCTACCACCTGAGGAAGATCCCTGTTAATATTTTGGTTCTCAAAAAAAAAATGTTGATTCTCGTTTTCCAGATTTTTATGACATTTGCTTAGTTCCAAAAACCACAAAGATTTGTTGATAAGGAGCAAAAATTCATCCTTTCCACAGATTGTTCCTGATACTTTGGTTTAGGCACATATGTATGTTGTCATTGTCGTTGGGCGCTGTCATGTCACTCCAACTCATAGTGACCCTATGTACAAGAGAACAAAATGTTCACAATTACTGTTGTGGTTAAGCTCATTGTTGCAGCCACTATGCTTTTCCATCTTGTTGAGGGTCTTCCTTCTTTCCACTGCCTTCTGCATGAGGTTTTCAGTGGCTCATTCCTCAGAAGTAGACAGTTTATTCTTTCTCCCTCATTTGTTCTTTGTGTGGAAGCTCTGCTGAAACCATGGGTGGCTCTGCTGGTATTTGAAATGCCAGAGGCTTAGCTTCCAGCATCACAGCACTGCACAAGCCACTATAGTTCAACAAACTGTCAGATGAGTTCATCGGGTTTACTTTCTTTGTTCTTTATTTAATTAACATTCCCATAAGTCGAATGATTTGAATTCGTAGGGTTAGCATTGATTATCAGCGCACCTATGCATGGAATAAACTAGTGGAGATTATGCCAGTATGTAATACTGGCTAGGGAACAACGTGCATTTGCTAATATCATTGCTGTTTATCTTGAAGCTAGAATATGTTGCTGCTGTGAAATTATCCATGACAATTCACTTCTAAAAGACATTTATGAAAATTTGTTAGTGCTAGCTTATGTGATCATGAGGTGTTGCTCCGGTATCAGGTATCAAAGACCTAGAACAAAAAATCATATCAACGGAATGAGGAGTGCAGAGTGGAGACTCCAAAGCCCATCTGTAGACAATGGGACATCCCCTCACAGAAGGGTCACAAGGAAGAGAAGAGCCAGTCAGGGTGTAGTATATAACCACTGAAACATGACCTTCTTCTAGTTCTTTAATGCTTCCTCCCCTCTCCGTTATCATGACCCCAGTTCTACCTTACACATCTGGCTAGACCAGAGTATGTACACTGGTACAGATAAGAGCTGGAAATACAGGGAATCCAGGACAGGTAAACCCCTCAGGACCAGTGGTGAGAGTGGCGATACCAGGAGGGTGGAGGGAAGATGGGGTAAAAGGGGGAACCAATTAGAAGGATCTACTTATAGCCCCCTCTCTAGGCAACGGACAACAAAAAAGTGGGTGAAGGGAGATGTCGGATAGTGGAAGACATGACAAAATAATAATAATTTATAAATTCTCAAGGGTTCATGGGGTGATGAATAGCTGATACCAAGAGCCCAAGTAAAAAGAAAATGTTTTGAGAATGAGGATGGCAACAAGTGTACAAATATGCTTGACACAATGGATTTATGTATGGATTGTGATAAGAGTTGTATGAGCCCCTAATAAAATGATTTTTTTTAAAAGAAAGGAAGAAAATGATGGTGGCAGCAATTACACAATTACACTTGATCTAATTGAATTATGGATGGTTATAATATCTGTAAGAGCTCCCAATAAAATGATTAAAAAGAAAGAAACCCAGGAAAGGTAAATCTATAGAGACAGTAACTGGGTAAATGGTTTCTTGGGGGCATAGCAGAGGAGGTTGGGGGAATTGGGGAGCTAATAATAAGGAGTACAAAAAATAAGAAAATGTTGAAAGAAAAAAAAAAGAAAATGTTCTAAATTGATTGGTGATAATTGTATAACCCTTTTAAATATGATTGAACTATTGAATTATATGATATGTAGATTACATGCCAATAAAATGTTTTATTAGAAAATGATTACAAAAAAAAAGAATGAAAATTTGCTAGTGCTAATTTTCTTTTTTCTTTTTTTAAACAAAATTAACTTGATTATAGTGGTCATGATGATGATGATGACTAAATTATATTTCTTCTTTGTTGGGGTAAAATAATATGGGAAAATAAGAACAAATAAAAGTAAAGGGAAAATTAAGGATCTTAAACATATCCACAATTTTTAAAGATCTCACTGGTAAATACATTGAAATTGAAGTATAAGAAGACATAGGAGAAGGGTTTAGCAGATTGGTTTAAAGGAAAAGCCCAATATAAGCACTGTGTGGCGGCAAGTGATAATGTATAAAACCTTAAACACAAAAAGAATAATTAGTGAAATCTGGACATTTACAGACTGAGCCACAGGAAATCCAAGTATGATTTCAACTGGTGTAAATTTATGAATAGTGGTAAAATGATTGTAAATTGTGTTTCTTTTGGTGCTAATTTTGTGGCCCAGAATTTTTTTCTCAGCTATTTTTTATTAATGAAGAGTATCAAAAATAAAAATGTTTGTATATTTGTTTTAAGGTATTTGGGGAAGATGGCCTAGTTTCTGAATCTTCCCCCCCCCAAACCAGTGAAATTATACAAACGAGGATAGCAAAACCAAGACAGACAAGCACCATCTTCCATAAATAAAACTCGTATCAAAAGGTATCCCCCTGAGTAGGTAGGCCAAACCACCAGCAGTGGTATCAGCATCCGTGCAGCAGGAAGGAGGAGGATGTAACGGGGTGATTGGCAGGCTTGAGACTCCAGTCAGCCAGCAAGTACTCACTGGACAGCTCGGCAAGCCAATTGGGAAGCAGCAACTAGGACTGGACGGGGTTTTGCATAGTCCAATAGTAGAGTAAACACAAAGGGTCGGTACTGAGACTCGGAAGGGTCAGGATCCGTTTTAACTCTCAAATTGGAAAAGTTCTGCACTGAGGAGGACTGCTGGAAATGGAATTTAGTTGCACAGGACAGGATCAGGAGAAGGAAGTAAAACAGCAGGTAATGGTCCTGCAGAGGGGAACAGAGATCCCAACAAGCAAACTGCCTTGTGCAGGTTTGCCTTGCTATCCAAAAGGACAGCAAGAACCCTTTGAAACCCTCTGTAAGTGGAAATGGCAGAAAACAAAGAAGTAATTACCATTGATTTATATGAGATAATTTTTATGCTTCCTTAGACCCCAAAAATAACCTACCAAATAACACGCAGAGCCTAAAATGACACCAGTAAACCGTGTTAGCAGATACAGTTCAAAGAGCTAGTGGCTTGAAGCTGAGATGCCCTAGGAAGAATTTGGTGAAGAAGACCTAAAACAAACAAACAAAAAACCATATTGTTGAGAGCGAGGGGGGTCAGAGCAGAGACCCAAAACCCATCTGTAGACAGTAGAAGGGTTCCCCACAGAAGGGGCACAAGGAAAGATGGCTCAACCAAGGCGCAGTATAGTACTAATGAAACACACAATAGTCTTCTGGTCATTTGGGGCTTCCTCACCCCCCACTATCATCCCCCGAGTCCTGCCCTTCATTCTGGCTAGCCCAAATCATGTACACTGGTACAGATAAGTGCTCATGACACATGGTATCCATTTCAGATAAGCCCCTCAGGAACAAAAATGAGAGTAGTAATACCAGGAGAGGAGGGAGAAGTAAGGGGAGGAGGGGGAGAAATGAACCAATTGCAGTGATCGGCACACCACCACTCCAGGGGGACAAACAACAGAAAAGTGGGTGAAGGGAGACAGCGGACAGTATAAGATATGAAAATAATAACATAATTTATCAAGGGGTCACGAGGGTGGGAGGGAGCGGTGGAAGAGGAACTGATACCAAGGGCTCAAATAGTAAAATATTTATAAAATAACAATGGTAACATGTGTACAAATATCCTTGGTACAATTGATGTATGCAGTGTTATAGGAGCTGTAAGAGCCCCCAATAAAGTGATTTTTAAAAGCTGTAAGAGCCCCCAATAAAATGATTTTTAAAAATAATAATAATTTGGGACACCACTCCTGCTGCTTGGAGTGCACACTGCCGCTTGAAGGGTACGCTGTAAAACAGCATTGAACGTTAGCTTCATTTTTCTTCTTTTCCCCCATCAAAATAAAAATTATTCTCAGATTTCTTTCAGATAGTGGAGACAGGTACTAATTTGGTCTGAAATGTAAGTGAAGTGGCATAAAGCTAACCTTCAAAAAGTGAGGCTACTTGTGTAGGAATGTTATTAGGTGCTGTTGTCCGTTTTGACTCTTAGTGACCCTCCGTGCAACAGAAAGAAACACTTCCTGGTCCTGCACAAACCTCACAATTGTGCTGTGTTTGAGCCCTGTGTTGTAGCCACTGTGTCACTCCCTCTCGTCAAGAGCTGTCTCCGTTTAGCTGCCCTGCTGCTATATCAAGATGATGTCTCGATAGTCTAGTCATTCGCCTTTTAAGTTTTTTGACTTTTGTCCATTTAGGTGTTACCACTACAGTTACTTTAAAACACATTTATGACATACAGTAGAGTTAAATTGCTGCACTGAGTTAAATTGGCCCTTCCATCTAAAATGAGTACATGAACTTATTAAGAAAATGAAAAGGAACTGACATGAGCAGTAATCTTAAACAAATTCTACACATTTTGAGAGACTGTCCAGAGGAATATGTGCCCAGAGGTGGTGCTGTGTTTTTGCTGGTTTGTTTTAATCTCTTCCACCCCAAATCATGAAGCATGCACTGGGCAATTTTATAATGCTCATCATGGGTAGACTTAAAAGATTAGGATAGTCATCTCATCTCAACCCTGAAAAGCTAAGTCTGGGTGTCCTTGCCCAGTACAGCACATTGTTTGAGTATTAGGAAATTATCAAGGCCAAATCTTAGAAAGTTATTTTTAAAAAGAGAGAATAAGAAACAGTAACGCCTCCTCCAGACATCAAAAGGAAACCACTGGGTGGATTCCTACTTTTAGGACAGGGTAGAACTACCCCTGTGGATTTCCAAGACCAGTAACTCTTACTGGAGTAAAAGTCTTGTCTTTCTCCTGTGGAGTAGCTGGTGGTTTCAAACAACTGACCTTGCAGTGAGCAACCTAATGCCACTAAAAACACAACAGAAAAATATACTTGAAAAAAAAATGCTAAAAACATAACCCCATGTTTCAAAACAGGCTAAAATACCTTAAGAAAATTATACAAGATATGAAAGAAAAATACATAATCACAACTATAAAAATTCATAAATGATGATAACCAACTCCAAACTCTCCCATTACTTCATTTCCAACTCATAGCGGCCCTAAAGGACAGATAGACTAGCTGCCCCTTTGCATGTCAGAGGAAGCAGAAAGCTTCAACGCTCGCCCACTCTGCTGGTGGTGTGTTAGGAGCCTAGAATGTAAGCCAGTACACCACCTTCTTAGGAATGATGATAGAGGTAGGAAAGAATAAAAATTAAAAAACAACATTGTTGTTAGAAATGGGAATGAATTGAGAGGATGAGCATGATAAGTCAGTACAACAGATAACTGCTTTCAAAATACCCCCAATATAAACCCAAAGAAATTGACATCACGGCAGAGGCAAACTTCTGCAAACTAAAAAAGAAAACAAGAAAAATAAGCATGTATTTGATTTATTTTGTTATCAGGTACATACACAGCAACAACGTACTCCAGTTGATAGCTTCTATGTGCATAATTCACTGACCGTGATAATTTTTATTTAAGGTTTAAGAACTGTCTCCGGGCAGGAGTTTCAGGGACTCATCCAGCCTCACTGGCTGCAGTAAGTCTGGCACCTGTGAGGCTTGGAACCTCTGTTCTGCATCTCCTCTTTTAATCAGGCTGCTTGTACAGAATCTGTGATCCAGCTGTTCAGTAGAAGTTCCCATTGCCTCCTGAGTCACACTCACAGTCCTTTGTTGCTCCAGGCAAATGGACAGTCTAATTGTTGGGCTTTGGATGGCCTCTTGAAAGCGTTTAAGACCCCATACACTATGAAATAAACATAGGGGATAGAACAAAAGCACTAGCATAATACTAGGTTGGTTAATGGGGTTACCCATGAAACCATGACCTTAAATCTATAAAACCAAGGAACCAGAGCCAATGAGGTACCTTTTTCAGGAAAAAAAAATTTGTCATTATTTAAATATGCCTATCCCGCAGCTCTGGCCAAGGTCTGCAATTTGAAACCACCAGTCCTCAGGGAAAGATGAGGCTCTCTACTCCTCGTGAGCAGTTACTCTCAGAAGCTCACAGGGGCAGCCCTACCCTCCCTTATAGGGTCTCTGTGAGTGGACCTGATTCCATGGCAGTGAGTTCGGTTTTTGAGCAGAAGAGTAGAGTTGTGGAAGAAACCATTGGTCATAATAGGATCAAAGACGTAAGGACGGAGACAGAGGTGAGTGGCAGTTGGCCTTGAGCTGGTCTAGAGATGGATTCTCCTTTTCCCTAGTGAGTCCAGAGGAGGCCAAGTATAGCCTCCAGGCCTTTTGTTCCATTAGGTGTGAATGGGGAGTGACAACTAACTTGTGTGATGTTTGCTTTAGGGATGCTGAAAATATTTTGGTACTGGATGGTAGTGGTGATTGCACAGTTCTATTTTTTAGAAAAAAACTCATGAATTATACATTTCTTAAAGGGTGAGGTATATGATAATGTGGATTATATCTCAGTATATTTTTAAATTTTAATCCAGACACTAAAGAGTACAAAGTGACAGTACTGTACAATTCAAGAAGAGACTACACAAATTTGGGATGTGGGGGCAGTGGGTTGCGGGAAACAATAGTTGCTGAAGGTAAGGGAATTGATTTGAAAAGCTCAAGATCTTGGTACACACGTATAGCCAATTGTCAAAACTTATAGAAGTAATAACAGCCCTTCATTTATTATGTAAACTATACCTTGATTTTAAAATAAAATGAATACCAAAAAGGAAACAATCATTCTCTACTACAATGCCTACCTGGGAATGATGCTTGCCTGGACATAATAATGTAAACACCAAATATTTATTGACTTCCTGATTGTCACTCTCCACCATTACTTCTTAATCCTTTGTGGTTTTATTATCTCACAGTTCTTTTTCCAGTACTTGGGCCTCTTTATGTCCTAGATGTTCTTTCATGCACTAACCTTGTTAGTCCTTCAAGCTAAGGACATGGGCAAACAGCAGTGTGACTTTGTGCCAGCCGGAGATCACACTCTGAGCTTGAATGTTAGCTCTTCAGGACAGTTGCCTGCCAGGTGGCAGTGACAAAGTTAGCCTCTAAATATCCAGTAGGGGTTGAATCTGTTCAAAGGTGGTCTTCCCTCACCCCCATTCCAATGAGGTTGTCTATATCAGGCAACCCAGAGAAAGCTTCCAGGGTTATTTGTGGACCAGTCTTGTCTCTCCAGGTCACTCTGCATCAAGCAATCTACAGTACTTCTATTTTCATGGTCACTGTCATTACTGATTACTAAAACCCCTCCATAGTCTCAATTCCAGACATTCTACCCTGGCTTGTGGTAACCTCTTAACTTCTCCAATAAACCTCATAATTATGAGTGTTGTCTTGTTACTAAGATCCCCTTTACCAGGCTCGTACCCCCAGCTGCTATGAGCATTGGCTACATTCAGCTCACAGCTGCGCTTGGAGCTACCTCTTCCAGAAATACTGGAGAGGCCTGGCCCTTCCCTGGGGACAGTCTCTATAGGGTAACTAAATATTCTGCCTTGCTCAGAACTCTCCTTGATTTAGCACTGAAAGTTCTACATCCTGGGAAAACCTTCAGGCCTGAGCAAGCTAGGACTTTGGCCATCCTATACCCAGCCAATGGCTGACTCATTAGGAAGTCCAAAATCCTAGACTCTGGCAGTGAGTTTAGTTGGTGTTTTTGTTTTTAGCCTGCTGGTGGAAACCTCTGTGGTGTCTCATATTCTGGAGCTTCTCTTGGGATCAGGGGAGGCCAGACTTCAGCTGCCACCACCTCTTTGCTTAGCTTCTTCCTCCCTCTCTTGCTTATCTCACTTCTTGGCACTGCCTCAATAAATCATTTACACAACAATTCCCATCTCAGAGTTGTGCTTCTAGAGAATCTGACTTGAGATTCTTTCTAATCCTTTCAGCTCTTTCCAGTATCCTGACTCCAACCATCTTTGTATCCTCACATTCACCGTCAGTCAAATCCATCCCAACTCATAGTGACCCTGCCGGGCATAGTCGAACTGTCCATCTTTACCAGTACAGAAAGCCTTGACTTTCTCCTGCGGAGAAGCTGGTGGTTTCAAATTGCTGGCCTGGCAGTTAGCAGCCCAAATCACTGCCTGGGTTTAAATCATTTCCATCTTAAATAAAATACATTTAGTACCAGTATGTCTTAAAACAGCAGTCACATAGCAGTGAGTTTGTAAGAGGGAAAAATTGAGAGTGAGAATGAAAAAGAATTCTTCAGGCTTCCTGGCTGAAAAGCAAACCACATAAAAGAGGAGAAAAAACCAGGCTTCACCATAACAGCATCCGATACCAGGTGTCTAGGAGGCAGCATCTGGGAAGTTCTGAGAAGGAGCACATGTAAACTGTCCTTGAAAAACACTACCTGATAGCAGATTGAAAAAGCAACATGAAGTACCCAGAAAGGAGATTGAATCACGTAAAAAATAAAGCCAGTATTAAATTTAATAACTATGGGGATTATAGGTATATTTGGGCTTCAAAAGGTTCATGGAAAAATAGAGTGAAAAGATCTTGAGATTTTTCTCAGAAAGTAAGTACCCCTCAAAGAAAATGTCTGGAGCGATGTTTACTTCACGATAATTCATTTTCAGGTGTTGAGCTATGCTTTTAAGTGTTCAACTTTGAATTTTTTTTTCTCATTAGTTAGTCCTAATAATGAACATATTTGATTTTTTTTTAAACAGCAATGTTATATGCCAGAAAATCAAACTAAAAATGAATAGTCCAAGATAGTAATATGATTCATGCTATGTGGTGAGAATAAAAATTATTTTCTTTTTGGTATATTTGTGTTTGTAAGGTTTTCAAGTCTGTTTATACTCTGAAATGTTACAATATTCCAGCTTTCATTAAATTTTTACTTCTTAATCAAGAGATAAAAGGTTAAGGTTTGTCTTTTAACCTTTCCTTGTCAATACTTACCTTCAATTTTGCATGATAAAATGAAAGAGAAAATATCGTAATAAAAATTTTATGTCCTTCAAGTATAATGCAACCTTCCAGTGCTGGTTTTCAGGACTAGTTAGAAGTGTCCAGTTGATTTCATTTCTTCCTTTGAGCAAAGCCGTGCCCTCAGTTCCCTTCCCGAGCTCTCCCCTGCACAGGGGCCCAAAGTGATAGGTTTGTTTTCCAATGTGACAGGTAACCGCCATGAACTTCAGTTTAACAAGCATCTCTAAACTGGATTATTTATATCACAGATAGAGAGCACAAAATATTCTACTTTATCATTTGTGTTTAAATGTGGCTTGTTTGTTTTGTAGGTATGACCTTGCTTCTAAGGAGTGGCTTACACTGAACCGTTCTGTGAACAATGTGGTTGTTAGATACGGCCATTCTTTGGCCTTATACAAGGTAAATTATCGCACTCTGTACTAAGAAAAATACTCAATTCCTTCTCCATTGTTTCATTGTATTATGTAATTGAAAGGCTATTTATTGTTGGCTCTTCGTCGGGGAATATTTTCTGCACTGGGTAGAATTATAATAGGCTAAAAACTATAGATACTAAAGTTGAAACTATTCTACCCATGAGATTTTAATGGATTCCAGTTGTAATGAGATATGATTGTGGGGCTGTAAAAGATCTCATGTGAGAAAGTCCAAGAAACTGGTGAAATGGGGATCCAGGCCATGATTAATTTAAGCATGTTCCTTTCTCCATCCCTTTCTTTTAAGTCACCGAAAGATACATGGCACTAACACCGTTTAAAAGCTACGACTAATGTTGACATTTTGAATTGCTTCTGTTCTCTCCAGTCTTCTTTTCAGTATTTTTGAAATTTTGTTTCCATTTTTCCCTAGGATAAAATCTATATGTATGGAGGAAAAATTGACTCAACAGGGAATGTGACCAATGAGCTGAGAGTGTTTCATATTCATAATGAATCCTGGGTATTGCTGAGCCCTAAAGCAAAGGAGCAGTATGCAGTGGTTGGGCACTCAGCTCACATTGTTAAATTAAAAAATGACCGCGTGGTTATGCTGGTCATCTTTGGTCACTGCCCTCTCTATGGATATATAAGCAATGTGCAGGAATATGACTTGGGTAGGTATATTTTTTCCATTGGCCTTTTTTTTTTTTAATGTCAAAGTTCAGACTTATTGTTTTGACCATTTCACAATGTTCAGCCTAACCTTGAGCCAGGGCCTATCTTGAAACTCAGTTAACATTGGTGTGTTATCAGTCAATTCAGACTATCGCTGTGCCTGTGTAGTATGTATTTGCTACCGTCAGTTTGCCAGAGGGCCCACAATGCACTGGGCATTACAATTGCAACCTTACATGGCAAACATAAGGCAATTGAGATGTTTTCATTCAATGATGATTGTGCAGAGTGAAAATTGGATCGTATGCTTTATCCTACCCTAGGACCAAAAATAGATTTTTCACCTAAAAAACTCCTTTACAATGAGCTGATGCTTTCTAGTTAGAAAATAAACATAAACTTTGTATAGAAAATAAAAGGGCCAAGTTATACGAGAATGTTTTGGGATAAATTCTTGATCGCATAGTACTTGATAGGTAGATGTTGCTCAATATATATTTGGTGGATGATTGAAAATAAGAATTAATGCAATCCTGTTGAATGTTTATAAATTAGAATACTCTTAAAATTCAGATATAGTAATGAATATTCTAAGACATAAGTACCTAAATTTATGTGGCCCATCACCCCCTTTCAGAAAAAAATTACTCAGTGCCTCCTTGGCAATTAAAAACTTTTGTACTATAGCCCATAACCCAGGAAAAAATTTTGCAGCCTTCCCAGCCTGCCCCCCAGTCGTTCCTGTACCCACCCCCACCCCCACTAGGAAGCCATATCACCTGCTTTAGGGAATACTGCTTTGAGACATCAAAAAACACAAGTCTTCCCTCTACATGAAAAGGAATGGGTGAGAAGATACCGATGGAATAGAGACATTTCCAGTGAAGAAGACACATGTTACAATCACTCAAGTTCAGCCTCAGTGATAGATGTTTCTGGACCTCTGAACTTTTTATGTTTAGGTTGGTCCAATAAGTATATTCTTTCAAAGTTAACCACTTGTTTTATTTCTACATTGAACTTATTTTTTTGTGGGTTTTTCTAACGTTTTCAAATGAGCAAATTTTATAAAATGGGAATTGTGTGCTTTGGTTCAGCATTTTTACTAATGCTTATTAAACCTTTCTTGTAACAAAACTGGTTTAAGACTATAAGTATTCTGAAGAAACATGTATTTGGATAGCTTTTAGGGGTTAGTTTAGTGGAGCGTCATTTTTTAAAAGATAATCTTTCCTTTCGTTAAGTTTTATTGCATCCACTGTTTAGAAATATTGACTAATTGATATATTGAGAAAGCAGGTCTATAAAATTTAGAAGAGTAAATGTCAGTTATTTCTGGTTTGCTTAATTTATTCTCTCTGCATCTATTTATTTTTCACTACATGTCATGGTGAATTAAGTTTTACTTTGAGGGGAATCCGTTTATTTTAAATTTGGGGAAATATTAGACCAATGAAAATGAACATTGGGATATTTAATAGCTTGGAGCTTAGCCACCTGGCTTTGTTAGTAGTTTTAAGTGATCTTCCATTAAGAATGAAAATGATAAAACTGTGCATATCAAGCCTCTGAAGGCTATTTGGATTTTTAATTACTGCCAGGGAGGAGCCTGTAGCATTTGGTTTTAGCTGATTTTTTCCTTTCCAGAAAAGAACACCTGGAGTATATTACACACCCAGGGTGCCCTTGTGCAAGGGGGCTATGGTCACAGTAGTGTTTATGACCACAAGACCGGGGCCTTGTACATCCATGGAGGCTACAAGGCCTTTAGCGCCAATAAATACCGGCTTGCAGATGATCTCTATAGATATGATGTGGACACCCAGATGTGGTAGGTGAATTTTTTTTTTTAACTTCCATGTTAAAATGTGAATCATGTAGGAGCAATTGTTGGGAAAATAACAGTACTATCTTTTTATTTTCAAACTTGGTAGGTAATTTTGTTCAGCTAATATTTTACTGCATTATTCTCTAATTCTGTAGTAGGTTGGTTAGATAATGCTTAAGTGTTTTTTGACTGGTTTTCAATTTCTGTATACTTAGTACCACTGTAAAGTTGAGCTCTTCGGCATTGTAAGAAATGCAATATTGTATACAGCCAAGTTTCTGCCCACATTTATCATTAAGCAGAACATAGCTGCTTGTCAGTCATTTTACTGATGGCCAAGATGTCATCAGTGGGGTCAGTACCTGGCGTTATTCCATGAAATCACCAAATAGGTGGTGTTTGAACACCTACTAGATAAAGGTCTCTTTTGAATCAGACATTAGATGCTAAATTAAACAAATGAAAGGCAGATTTGAATTGAGAAATAATGTAATTACAAAGTAATGGTTTCTTCTTTTTGTATTCTGTCATGTAGGTATATTGTTTTCTATGTTTGGTTTGATCAATGAAACATAGTCCATAAACTTTTGACTGCCCTTGATTTCTACCCAGATCTGGAAATTGTGGAATCATAGGATATTAATATTTTAAGGCTGCTACCATATTTTTCCAAAATTCCTTTAAGTGTTAACAATTTTGTGTACTTATTTATTTATTGACAAGGTATCTACATACATACAGAAAAAAGTCTGGAAATATTTGGACATAATGGGTCAAAATTTAACAAAAGAGTTGCTTTGTAATAACAGATAGATAACAAGTATTCTAAACTAACTGTGTGTTTATTATTTTTAAATAAACTCAAAAGGACCATTCTTAAGGACAGCCGATTTTTCCGTTACTTACACACAGCTGTGATAGTAAGTGGAACCATGCTGGTGTTTGGCGGAAACACGCACAATGACACATCCATGAGCCATGGTGCCAAATGCTTCTCTTCAGATTTCATGGCTTACGACATTGGTAAGCTTCCCAAAGCCATTTTCACTTTAAGAAACCTTTCATCTGATATATGTAATGTTTTAAAAGCACAATTCAAAATGGTCAAGCCATTTAAAAGAGGTCTGATTGGTATTTGTCAGAGTTTGTTTCCATGTAATGTTGTTATATCTTTAAATGTCCTATCTATTTAAAAGCATCACTTACGCATAAAATTCTCCTTTAAGCTACTCTTTTTAATTGCTTTGAATGGTAATTTTTGAGACTGCATTGAAGTAACCGAGCGCTCCTTCATTACAAGTGCCTTACACAGTGGGTTTTGTAGTTGTGACTGCCAGCATGGTGCTATCCAAAACAGTGTCTAGTCTATTACATAGAAAACTGGTTTCAGATAATCTTGACCTAGACTTGGGCATGACATTTACATTTTTTTAGTGTGGTAATTTACTTCACCAGGAGAGGGCAATATATGTTCAGAGAAACCAAGTTCTTATCATTCCCTTAGTCAACATTTTCAGAAGTTCATTTTTAACAGACACTTGATGTGCCAGCTAGGCCAGTGAGCTTGTACTATGGGGTGGTAAGATGAGTAGGTTACAGCCTTTGGCCTCATGGTGGGAAAGGCAAAGAAATGAGCGAGCATTATAATGGCAAGTCAGGGTTTTACTTGCTTTCAGAGAAATAGATGGGAGTACCTATGAAGGCCGCTTCACTATAGGGTGAAGGGTGACAGTCAAGGAAGACCTTCCAGGGGTGGGACCATCCAAACTGGGTCCTGAAGGACACTGGAAACCAGTTGGGTGAAATTAGGCCAGACTTCCAGGCAGAGGAAGCCTATACACAGAGATAATGGTAGATAGAGATTGTGGGCATAATTTGGGGGCTCCCAAGCAATTACCAAGCTCGCTGCCACCCCATGAGTAATGAATTTTGGCTGTATAATGGTAGCACACCAGAGAGGAGTAGCCTGGAGTGAAATTCTAGGAGCAAACAGCTGTCAAACCTTTTAGATCATGAAGCCTCGTGTGGCACGCTGAGGCAGGTGGGCTGTTTGAAGAATCTCACAGAGGCGTTAACACAATCTTGCTGTGTCTATGGAAAAATCTTTGTGGCATTGTGGTGAGTGATTACGAAGGGATAAGACCGTAGTTCAGCGGTGATTACCAAAGTGGTGATGTGAGTTTGCAACGAAGATGTGGACGTGGCAGTGAGGACAAAGATAAGCAGCTTGAGAACTAGCAGGAACTTGAGGACTGCCTGGTGCATATTTTGAGTGGGGCGAAAGCATCCTCTCAGGTACCTCACATGGGCCATAGCAGCTGGTGCCTTTTACCAAGGCTGGGAATGGAAGTAAGAAATATACCCAGAGAGTATATTTCACTAAAAACAAACAAACAAAAAAAAACTTGTCTATGAAAAGAAAATGGGGTAGTTGAGTCCTTGGTGGGAGTCGATTTGGCCTTAGAAAGACCTTACAATGCGGAGGTGGGGAGAGGAGCGGATAATCTTGTTCCCCTTTGCTTACTGTGATGAAAGACTATTAGAGGCTCAAGGGAGAGTAGTAAACAGTTGAATGGGGAGGAACTGATAGGCAGAATGAGAGGAAGGGACACGTTGGTTTTCAGGAAGGAAACGGTAGGGGGCAAGAAGCTGGGGGAGTTGATGCCGCATGACGTCCATTCTTCATGAGGAAGACCAGTCTTGGCTAGAGAGAAGGAAGTGAAAGCTGATGAATAAAGATCTTCATGAAGTGGAAGTAACTTTGAATAAGCAAGCTTGACTATCTGCCTCAGAGAGTATACGGTTAAAGTGGTACAGCAGCTCCAGATTACACCCAAGGTCCAAAAAGAAGTTGCTAGCATGGGCTGAAAACAATGGAAAAGTAGAAGATTTAAGGGTCTCGGAAGGCGCCCTGGTGGTACAGTAGTGAAGTGCCCTGCTGATATCTCAAAGGTTGGTAAACTCAAACTGTTCAACCAGAGGAAAAACACCTTAGAGGAGTTTCTGGTCAGCCTCGACACACTGTGAGGGAGGTCTGCACTGTCCTGAGGTGTACTGTGAGTTAGAATCACAGTAAACAGGAAAACAGCAATGTGGGACCTAGGAAAGAGCAGTGGCATTATGAATGTTTGGGGTTTTAGAGTGTTAATTTTCACCTCCTGTATTTTCTATTTCAGCTAAGTTTAGACAGCATAAGATGAAGACAAATAGAAAAATAATTATGGAACCCTTGGTAAAATAGAAATTTTCCTTAAGTTAAAAAGCATGGGAGTGGTAAAATTGCTAGACACCAGGGTGAGTGGTATGGAAGTCATTGAAATGGGGTGCATTTACCAATGGGATGAATTGCCACACAGTCCTGCCTTTCTCTCATGCCCTGCTGCTTGGCTGAGGTTGCTTTTTACCCTAGAAATAATGACATGGCTAAGAAAATTAAAGAGATCCACTTTATGAAGTTAGGTTTGTTGCAGTATTTTTCTCAAAGAAAATCCGTTTCCGTTATCAATAACAGCCCCTTTTGAAGTGTGTTTTTCTTGCTCCTAGCTTGTGACCGTTGGTCAGTGCTTCCGAGACCGGATCTCCACCACGATGTCAACAGATTTGGCCATTCAGCAGTCTTGCACAACAGGTCACTGGTTTTATTCGTGTACTCCTGCAAATGTTTGGTGGGTAAATGCATGGGACAACAGGATGTGCCCTTATCTTACAGTCTTCTGCCCTCTGTTAATGAGGGTTGTGCTGGGTTGCCTACCGTTGTGTCTGAATGACAAGAAAATATTTTTAAAAAGAGCTTTCCACATGGGGATGTTGTTTGCTGCTGCCTCAAAGTGGCCACACACTGCCCTAGACCAGCAGGCCATGTGGGGACCACACGAGATCCCCTTATTCTCATTGTTTTTGTCCTCTCCTTTCACTTGGTGCTCAGTTCAATTCTTAAACCTGACATTTCATGTGTAGCTATTGCAGGTCATTGTACCATTTCACATAGTTTCTTGAGTCTTTGTTGTAGAAAAGCATTAGGATCCATCTAGCCAAGCTGCCCTGGTGACACTGTTGGATAAGCAACTCAAAGCCACCAACTGCTCCTTGAGAGATAGATGAGGCTGTCTGCTCCCATGAAGAGTGGCCGCCTTGGAAACCCGATGTAGGCTCTCTGTGAGTCAGACTAGATCAGATGGCAGGTAGTAGGGTCTAAGCCACCATCTTAAACTCCTTTTTTTGTAATGTAACTTACAAATGATTTTTTTGTAGTGTATCATTGGTCTTTTTACATTGCATATGATACCATTTTCTATGAAGTTTTTTCATAAAAATTTTAATTTTAAAAAATGCCTTCTGAATTTTAAATCACAGCAATGATTTTTTCTCCTCTTACAGTGTGGAAATTTACCTGTACTGGCTTCTAGTGCTGTGTCTTTGGTTTTCTTGTTTTGTCTTTCAGGTTGTCCTCTGACCCATATGGAATTTATTTTGCTGTTTAGAAGGAAAAGTAAAATCGGTTCTTTCTTTTTCATGTTTTAGTTATTTCAGTGTCATTTAGTGAAAAGTCGGTGTTTTCCTCACTAAGGTGCCACTGTTACTGTGTACCCAGTGTGTGTGTGCACTTGATCGAGCTATATATTCATATACCAGAATGATAGCATTTTCATTATATAGCTATTCATGAACATTTTCATTTTAATATCTGACTTGTTAATGAGTATAGGATTAGTTATATGTTTAATTTTAAAAGGTATTAGTGTGCCCTAACACTAAAATACATCAAAGCAAAATGGTTAAAACTTAGAACTGTTCTGGTTGGTCATAGGCCAGAATGAAAGGGTAGGATAAGTGAGCAAAAGCGACGAGAATCTTTTCCTTGACTTTGAAAAATAACTTATTGGCAACTTTTGGTGTATAAGATTTGTCTGAGGGCTATAAAAAGTATATCATGCATTCGCTATATAAGTTTTTAGCAAGTCGCTTCTCTGTGTTAGTCTGGGTAGACTAGAGAAATAAATCCACAGAAACGCATGTGTATTTAAGAGAGAGTTTTACATAAAGGGTAAGTGTACATTAAGAAAGCATCTCAACCCATTGCAGTCCAAGCCCATAAGTCCAATATTAGCCCATATGTCTGACACCCATCTACAAAGTCCTCCTCAGTCTCAAAACACACGCACTATGACGCCAACTGCAGGAGGAACGCCAAATCAGTGAGTATGTAAGCATCTCAGCACCAGCAGGGGTCTCCACGCAGCTGCTCCAGCACCCAGGGCTGCATCAGGGTAGGTCAATGTGGCTTCTCAGGGATGTCTCATAGGAAGTAAGCCTTGCCATCTGAAGCAGGGAACTGGCTAAGGCAGCTGCACCCTAGTCTGACCATTAGAGAGCAAGAGACCTGAGAACTAGAAAGGCGAGGCTCACTGAGGCATTTATCTATCCGCCCTTCAATTAATCCCACATGTGTTTATCAGCCAGGTTGGCACAATAAACCTTAACTATTTCACTTCTCTCTCTTTTTCATCTTAGCACCATGTATGTATTTGGTGGCTTCAATAGTCTCCTCCTCAGTGACATCCTGATATTCACCTCAGAAAGATGTGAAGCACACCAAAGTGAAGCCGCTTGTTTAGCAGCAGGGCCTGGCATCCGGTGTGTGTGGGACTCAGAGGCATCTCAGTGTATCGCCTGGGAATTGGCAATGGAAGCACAAGAAGAAAAGCTAAAAGCAGAATGTTTTTCCAAAAGAAGTATGCTTTGTTTTTTTTCTCTCAAATTTTATTTAATTTAAGGTACTTTTTACTGGGGTGTGTGTGTGTGTGTGTGTGTGTGTGTGTGTGTGTGTGTTTTGTTATACATACCTTAAATTTATTTGGAATCTCTTCGGTGAATTGTGAGGGAAGTTACCATATATGTGTACTTAAAGATCAGTTTATTTTCCAAATCCATTTAGTGGTAACTTATTTAAAGCCTTTATGGGTCTTTGAAAATGGATGTACAAGTACCTTTAGAATAGATGCAATCATGCATGCCATCTGACTCTCGTAGCCTGTCTGCAGATAATGGCGATAAATAAACCTCCTTGGTATTTTATAGACTTCTACATAACAACTTCAGAACATGGCAGCAGTTGATGTGAGGCAGCTCTATCTAAAACAGCGGTTCTCAACCTGTGGGTCGTGACCTCTTTGGGTGTCGAACAACCCTTTAATAGGGATCGCCCGTTTCATAACAGTCACAAAGTTACAATGATGAAGTAGCAATGAAAATAATTTTATGGTTGGGGGGGTCCCCCCAACACGAGGACCTGTATTAAAGGGTTGTGGCATGAGGAAAGTTGAGAACCGCTGATCTAAAAGAACTCTTCTGTGATGATGGGAATGTTCGGTGTACCCCGATACAGTAGTCACTCACCACGTGTCCAAATACTTGAAATGCACCCATTTTCTGTGTAGTTTTTTAGAAGGGAGTATGTGTGAGACAAAATAGTTTTTATTCAGATTGCCTACTTCTAAACACTGCTTTAGCCTGTACATACTGATCTTTTCTTGCCAGTTTTATTTTTTCTTTTCTCTGCTGATTGTGCTCCTTCTTTTGTTTGGTTTTGTTTTTGATGTTGCTTTGTACTCGGCCTGAAATTGTGCCCAACAGAAGCGATAACGGCCTGTGAGTTTTCTGGGGAGAAGCTGTGATGGTTAATACATTTCCCTTTCTTTTCATAGCTCTGGACCATGACAGATGTGACCAGCACACAGATTGTTACAGCTGCACAGCCAACACCAATGATTGCCATTGGTGCAATGACCACTGTGTCCCTACAAACCACAGCTGCACCGAGGGCCAGGTTAGAGACTGCTTCCCAAGGATTGCAAGGAGAGGAAAATCTATTGGGGGTTAAAATTAGATGACAGTGTATGTGCCATGGGTAATGGCCCAGGGTGTTTTAAAAATGGGTATAGGTGTAGATTTTATTATTGCTCGGGTTTTCTTTTTTTTTTAAATGCCCTAAAGGTGTGCTCATCCCAAGGATTTAGCTAACCACTGGAATTTGTTTACATGTGTGGTGTTTTACAAGATGGCAGGACAGCCTTTCTGGGTGCCCCTAGAAGTTGAGGTGCCTGGACCTTTAGAATTTTGAAGGACTGTCATGAGAACATCATTTTTCTCCTTGGATACGCTTCGATAAATTACTTGGTTGAAGCTCCTGGGATCAGTTAGGGTCTGGACATAGTATTCTGTCCTACTTTGAGGCTGCTAATTATGAGCTTATTTTACCTCTGCAAGATTTGGGCAACAAGTTAGGACTTGAGGCTGGGGGTGTGTTGGGTGTGTAGGAATACATAACTCTAGGTCCTCATCAGGAGCCCTGGTAGTATAGTTGTTAAGAGTTGGGCTGTGATCCGCATGGTCAGTAGTTGGAAACCACCAGTAGAAAGACTGGGCTCTCTCTTCCCGTAAGCAGTTAGTCTCAGAAACCCACGGGGGGTTGCTGGGAATCAGCGTTGACTCAGCAGCAGTGAGCTTGGTTGGGTTTGGAGGTTCTCATAGCAGAAACTGCATTCTATCTTTGTTCACCTTGGTTTAATTAAATGTTCACGATATAGAGGTTTTAATTTATGTTATTTTAAAAGCTAAAGATAAGATGATTCCACTTTTATAATGTTAGGAAGTAAGACATTCTTTGTGAATCCGTTTGTTGCTGTTTACCATCAAGTCGATTCTTACTCAGAACAAGCCTGTATGACAGAGGCAGACTGCGCATAAGATTTCTAGGGAGCAGATCACCTGGGTTTCTCCTACAGAGTTCCTGGTGGGTGGGTTGGAACCACCAATCTGGGCATTTGAAGCTGAGCACTTAACCTTTGTGCCACCGGGGTTCCTGTTGTCGGTCTGTAATATAGATCATAAGAAACAGAACTTTTAGGCTATTTGTGTGGGAGGTACTTGAAAACCACCTGCATGACCATTTTACAGATGAGCAGGCTGATGCTGCTCTGTCAGTTCCAGGCATGTTCTTGAGCAGACACATCACTGCGCTATTTGCACCGCTTCATTTGCCTCGGATGTATGTGTGGTGTACATATTTGCAGTTTGCTGCTTCAATTAGATTTTGCTGTTCTTTGTATCCTGTTGGCCATCATCAGTTCTCTGTGTGAGTATAACAGAAAAGCTTTTGTCTATTGTGTTCTAGATCTCCATTTCCAAGTATGAGAATTGCCCCAAGGATAACCCCATGTACTACTGCAACAAGAAGACCAGCTGCAGGAGCTGTGCCTTGGATCAGAACTGCCAATGGGAGCTCCGGAATCAGGAGTGCATCGCCCTGCCTGGTAGGCCGTGTGTGTGTGTGTGTGTGTGTGTGTGTGTGTGTGTGTGTGTGTGCTGTGCCCTCCCTCTCTTGTCCCCATGTGCAGCAGCCAAGAATGTGAGGAGAAGCTAATTCTTTTCTCCTATGCCATTATTGTGGATGTTAGTATTTTAAACAAAAATTCCATTTTTTTACTATCTTTTTGTACTGTTATTTGCACTTAGATAACAGCTGATCAAATGGCAGCTCAGCTCTGTATTATAAAGCTTACTCCATGGCCTCCACCCCACTTTGCTGGGATAACAGTCAGTTTGCTTGCCTCTTATGAAGAGTTCTTCATATGTGTTACTATTAGGTTTGGGTTTCCGGTGCTTACTGAAGGGCATTCTTCTCTGAGCAGAGATGCCATTGTCAGCAACATCTCTTGGCGTGCTATCCATTCCCCAGGACCCCAGTGTCAACATACGGTGGTCCTTAAGCTTATGATGATCACTTGGGGGTCCTGAAGCCAGCCAGCCAGCCATGACCGAACCCTTTTGATACACTTACTCAACCAGAATGTTGAGGAAGTGGGACATCTGTGGTCTGTACAGCATCTGAGGCATAGTTTGATTTGTAATGCACAGCAAATCACCTGGAGCTCTGGAGCAGCAGGGCTGGGATAGGGCCTTAGTGGCAGCATTGTAACAACAGTAATTCCAATGCCACACTCTTGGCAGCAGGTCTTTATCTGTTCTTACATGTTATCTTTCCCATGGTACTGGAACTATCCATGTAGCTCAGCTGCGCTTACTGTTAATGAACACTTTTTTAAAAAATTATTTTATTGGGGACTCGTACAATTCTTATCACAATCCATACATATGTCCATTGTGTCAAGCATATATGTACATTTGTTGCCCTTATCATTCATAAAACATTTACCTTCTACTGTAACCCTTATTATCAGTTGCTCATTTCCCCCTCACTCCCCACTCCCCACTCCCTCATGAACCCTTCATAATTCATAAATTATTATAGTTTTGTCATAAGTTATACTGTCTGACATCTCCCTCCGCCCTCTTCTCTGCTGTCCATCCCCCAGGGAGGAGGCAATACTTAGATTCTTGTAATCGGTTCCCCCTTTCTACCCCACATTCACTTCACCCTCCAGGCATCGCCCCTCTCACCACTGGTCCTGAAGGAGTCGTCTATTCTGGATTCCCTGTGTTTCCAGTTTCTATCTGTACCAATGTACATCCTCTGTTCTAGCCAGATTTGTAAGGTAGAATTGGGATCATGATAATAGGGAGGGAGGAAGCATTTAAGAACTAGAGGAAAGTTATATGTTTCATTGTTGCTACCCTGCACCCTGATTGGCTCGTCTCCTTCCCACAACCCTTCAGTAAGGGGATGTTCAGTTGCCTACCGATGGACTTTTGAGTCTCCACTTTGCACTCACCCATCTTTACAATGATATGATTTTTTTGTTCTTTGATGCTTGATACCTGATCCCTTGACAGCTCATGGTCACACTTGCTAGTGTGCTTCTTCCATGTTAGCTTTGTTGCTTCTGAGCTAATTGGCCGCTTGTTTATCTTCACGCCTTTAAGACCTCAGACATTGTATCTTTTGATAGCCAGGCACCATCAGCCTTCTTCACCACCTTTACTTATGCGCACGTTTGTCTTCAGTGATCGTGTCAGGAAGGTGGCCACCCACTGATCTGATTTTTAATTCTTTGATGTCTGATAGGTGGTCCCTTCTGTACCTCGTGGTCAGACAGGCTGGTGTGCTTCTTCCATGTGGGATTATCTTCAAGCCTTTAAGACCCCAGATGCTATATCTTTTGATAGCTGGGCACCATTAGCTCTCTTCACCACATTTGCTTATGCACACATTTGTCTTCAGTGATTGTGTCAGTAAAGCGGGCACCCACTGATATAATTTTCAGTTCTTTGATGTCTGATAACTGTTCCCTTCTATACCTCATGGTCAGACAGGCTGGTGTGCTTCTTCCATATGGGCTTTGATACTTCTCAGCTAGATGGCCGCTTGTTTGTCTTCAAGCCTTTAAGACCCCAGACGCATATCTTATGGTAGCCGGGCTCCATCAGCTTTCTTCACCACCTTTGCTTATGTTCACATTTTTCTTCAGCAATCGTGTCGGGAAGGTGTGCTTCCTAGAATGCCAATGTAATAGAACAATGTGTTTTTGCAATGAGTAAGTGCTTGAGTGGAGGCCCAATGAATGAGCTTTTTTTTTTTTTTTTTTTTTTTAATTCTAGTTAATTTTTTTTTTTTAACATTTTATTAGGGGCTCATACAACTGTTATCCCAATCCATACACACATCAATTGTGTAAAGCGCATTTGTACATCGTTTCTCAAAACATTTTCTCTCCATTTAAACCCCCGACAATAGGTCCTCATTTTTCCCCTCCCTCCCCGCTCCCCACTCCCGCATGAGCCCTTGATAGTTTACAAATGGGTATTTTGTCATATCTTGCCCTGTCCGACGTCTCCCCCCATCCACTTTTTGGTTTTCTGTCCCCCAGGGAGGAGGTCACACACAGCTCCATGTAATCGGTTCCCTCTTCCCTACCCATTCTCCCTCTACCCTCCCTGTTTTGCCACTCACACCACTGGTCCTATAGGGCTCATCCGTCCTGGACTCCCTGTATTTTCAGTTCCCATCTGTACCAGTGTACCGAATGAGCATTTTTGATGGTGGCCCCAGGGTGCTTTGGTTTGGGTGCAGTTGCTCCACCCCCTAGGAAGCATTCTTAGCTTCTGTGCCACAGGGTGTTCACAAGTAGCAGACTGCCAATTGCCCATGTGGGTAACAGCCTTATCATGTTGTCTTTTTCCTAAGCAGAATCTTCCCACTTCAATTTTAGAGTGCTCTGTGCCCTTTTTGCCTCCCTGAAGCAAAGCTTTCTTGGTTCATCAATGGTGGTAGTAGCCTCCACTTTGGCCCGCCACCCCGTTTACCTTCTGTTGAAGGATGTGCAAACTGTGCAGCTTTGGGAGACTGTCCATTTGTCCATTTCCCCACCTCATTGCTCCTGTTGCTATTTTCTACCTACCCTTGAACGAATTTTATTTTCTTTCCAGTCATTCTTCAAAAAAAAGCTTACCATTCTTACATGACCTGCAGTCTGCTTCAAGACCTAAGGGCAAGTGAGCTCACAACATACTTTTTGGGATTCAGGATATATTTGTGTTACACATTTTTTTTTTCGTTCTCATATCCTTTTTTGGTGCTTAATAATATGCCTATGTCCTTACCACATCCTAATGAAGCACCGGGATTCAGATCACCAAAATCACTTAATTTACAGTAATTCTGACTGGTAATATAATAGTTTTGTGTGATATCTAAAACATTTTTTCCCCTCTCTCACTCTCACCCTTTCTTTTCCATCTTTGTAAAAGAAAATATCTGTGGCATTAGCTGGCATTTGGTTGGAAATTCGTGTTTGAAAATTACTACTGCCAAGGAGAACTATGACAATGCGAAATTGTCCTGTAGGAACCATAATGCCTTTTTGGCATCTCTTACAACCCAGAAGAAAGTAGAATTTGTCCTTAAGCAGCTGCGAATAATGCAGTCATCACAGAGCATGGTGAGTTAACCCCCCGGGGCTATAAGTCTGTAGTGCCCCACTTTGCTGGAGAGGGCGTGAATACAGATTGGGTGTACAAGGCTGTGGGTGTATGTGATGTGGTTGGCAGCAGGAGCAAATCCATGTGTAAGCGTTCTCGTTGACTGTGGGACTGTCTCATTATTTTCCTTGCATGCTTTTCTTATAAAATAATTTAACTTTTTACGTTTTATTAGTATTGATAAGGAAGTTACACTGTATATGAGTATGAGTAATTATATGTAGAATGAATATTAACATACACATACATAGGCACATAACCCTAGCGATAGCTATAGATGATTTCACACCTATTTAAACTATAGATTCTGCTACAAGGGAAGTAGGGGGAAAAGAAGATCTTAGTTCATCAGATAGATGGAATTAAGCCACCGGATCTCAAATGTAAGGTTTCAGTGAATAATAATGACTTAATGTTCATTATTACTAAGTACTATGGGCCTCTCTAGACCCGGCAAGCCAAAAGAAGAGGACACCTTCTTGTCAAGAGTCTCTGAGCTCATGAGGTCCCAAGTTCTCTACCCGATCACCTAGTGACCTCCACCAGCTTGTGATGGTTACTCATAATTGCATTTTGTCTTTTTTCCAAAGGCCCAAAGTCTTAGACCTGTGATCCTACTCTTGATTAAGTAGGGAATCACAGAACAAAGCTCTTTCAGATATGCTGTCTTTGCTGTGGATCTGTTTGGGAGAAATGTTCTTCACCTCAAGCAGGGAGGGGGTGAGGACGGCGCTTCCTTGGGTGTAGCCTTCTTCCTATGAAGATACAGAGAGTGGCCTGGGCCCAGGTCCTGGCAACACGTGGCCTTTATATCCCAATGTAGAGGACCATCCCAAAGGTGGTGGGAGATGCTCTGTATTTTACCTCCTCTTTAATCTCATTTCTCATTAAAAAAATTAATCTTTTTTCCCAGAGCAATATGGATAGGGGTAAACACTCAAGCATTGGTATTGTGGATATGTCCAGGGACACTGGGGCCACATTTAATATTTTGAACGGTTTTTCAAATTTCTTAATCTCCACTAGAGACTACAACCCCTGTTGGTTTCTCTTTCTCCTTTCACCCCCAGATGTAGGTCCCTCCCTGTGTTATATCCTTGGCTGTCTGCTAGCATTACCTTTAGTCATTCATGCCCTCAGAAAATTGACGATTTACAGCTTTGCCTGTGTCTCTGGCACTTCTACCTATGACTCCCAATTCCACATCTCTCTGAAGGGGTAGACCGAGTTGGAAGGGCTCAATCCTCCCAATTGGCCATAGATGCGTGTTCTGCTCCCTATTCTCTCTCATATGTTTTCTAGCTCTAGAAAGCTCTGAGTAATCTAATCCATTGTGGTGACCTTTGTAAAACAGGAGTTCACAAGCTTGTAATAAGACTGAAAAATAAAATATAATGTGCTTTTACTGCTATAAACCTGGCTTTATAGAGTCCAACCTTGTATGGAAAAATGAGAAAGTACATGCAGCCTAGCCTGAGGGCAGTTGTAGATGGCAGGAAAAAGGTTTGTAATCTCTGGAAGTAAGAAAGAACGAATCTGGAAGTGAAGTGGGAAGGACTCTGAGCACTGGTACCCCAGTGCAAGACCTAGAGACTTAAGGAATGGCTTGTTCAGTGAACTATGGCTGGTCTGCATACTAATAGCTGAGCCTCACAACATGGGGCCAGGGACCAAATCCTAAGAGCCTGGTCTGACCTTGACTTTCATGAAGGCATAAGGAAATTCTTGAAAGGCTTTAATTTTAAAGGATTAGTTTTTATTTTATTTCTTTAAAAAAATACATATTTCATACAAACTTTAGGAAATAGTTGCAATAAAGAGCATAAACATCCCTCATCATTATAACTCATAATTACCTTTGAGTATATTTGTTTTGGATCTTTTATGAACATATAAAACAGTAGTAGTAGCAACTGCCAAAATTAGGGCTTTCTTTCCCTTTTGGGCCAACCTTCACTTTGACTTAAAAGACATTCTAATTGCATTGAGGACATTTCAGAAGTACCAGAATCAGACTGTCTAAGGATTTGTAGTCCTGTTATTCCCTGTCAAATGCAGTACCAAACTATATAGCCCCTAGTTGAAGGTAGAGTCAGCAATCCTCTGAACTGACCATTGCCCAAAGTAGGTGTTGTCACTGATCTGAGGATCAGCATATGAGAGATAGTTTGTAAATACCGGTAAGATAATTTCATGAATGATTGGGCAGTTAAACCAGGTTGGGGGGACAATCTTTTCACAGCATTCGTCGTAGAATATGGAAATCTAGGGACTTGATTATTGCTTGCTATTTATCTTTACTGGGTAAAAATGTGATGTATCATCTTCTCTGAGCTGCCTTTTGTCCTTTGTGCAGTGTCCATATTGGAGTGCCGGGCATGATGTGTAGCACAAAATGATGGTCTGTCCTAAGTGAGGACCGAGGCAGTGGGAGGGAGGTCTTCTTTTTTTATCTTGGGCATATATGCATCTTTGTTGATTTTTTGCTTTATTGGGATTTATTTTTTAGAAGCCTATTTTGACGGAGAGATTGTATTAATAGTTGTGTCTGTTTTTTATGTAGTCCAAGCTCACCTTGACCCCATGGGTTGGCCTACGAAAGATTAATGTGTCCTACTGGTGTTGGGAAGATATGTCCCCGTTTACAAATAGTTTGCTACAGTGGATGCCATCTGAGCCCAGTGATGCTGGATTCTGTGGAATCTTATCAGAACCCAGTACTCGGAGCTTGAAGGCTGCAGCCTGCATCAACCCACTCAATGGTAGTGTCTGCGAAAGGCCTGGTAAGTGCATGGGGGATGATGTGTTAACTGGAAGTTCATTAAGAGACAGACCATAAGAGTCACAGTTAAGTCTTAAGATGTGAAGTAATCGTGAAAAACAGATGGAATATTGCTGTCAAGCATATGAAATGGAGCGCAACTAAGAATTTACAAAGCAGAGAGCTTTCTCTGGCTTTGAATAGTTTGAATCGTAAGTGAAAACAAAAATAGCTAACACTACCCAAAGAACTTAACAAATTAACAATAAGAATGATTGATTTACTGACCCCAAAAGTATTGAGAATTTCCGTGAATGCATTTCTTGGGGTTGTCAGAGAAATGCGGTAGAAGAGAGAAAAAATAAAAGCAAAGAAAAGGGTAGAAAGGCACTTGGACAACTGCAGGAGTAGTGTGTAAAACTCTATGGTCAGCAGGGAGAGAAACGATGGCAGCGGTTGTGTGACAGACAATAGAAGCAAACCAGAACCAAACTAAAACTGTGGAGAGGATGGAAGGGACGATCCAAGTAGCTCCATGGGTTTGAGTCTCTCTCCTCTGGGCCAAATGTAAGCCAGCCCTTTAGAAGTGAGCTAGAGGCAGCCCAAAGCCAGACCTCAGCAAAGCTTCCTCCTCCTGCAGAAGTTCCTTACCAACAATGGGTGGGGACACGTTCCTGTACCTTTCAGGCCCTGGGCTCAGCGTACATTTTGTCCCATTTTTGGAAGCTACTATAATTTGAGAAATACAAAAGCATGGAAGAATATTCATAACATTGTAGGAGTCACTTTACAGGTTTTAAACTTCTTGTATGGGACTTTTTCAACTCTTTTGATTCCTGAACTCTGTGTAGAAGTCCATGCATGCGGTGGTCCTTCTCCTCCCCACCCTTCACCTCAATATAAATGCAAGATTTTGCAGATCAAGGGTGTTGTAAGCACCAAAGTTCATCTTGGGTCCTCTGTATTCTGAAGGACTTCAATTCCTATTCTAGTAGAACTCTGCCATTAATGTTCTTTACAAAGAAAACAGGTGGGGTTTTTTCCCCCAAATGTGTAACTACAGCTGACCAAACAAATGATGCTACTGCTGCTGCTGCTGTTGCTAATATTTTGTACTAATAGGTCACAACCCACATTTGAAGTCATTGGCCATGGTCAACATGGTGAGAAGTCTGAGCGTTTGTTTTGTGTTTCATTCCCAGCGAACCACAGTGCCAAGCAATGCCGGACACCGTGCGCCTTGAGAACAGCATGTGGCGAGTGCACCAGCGGCAGCTCCGAGTGCATGTGGTGCAGCAACATGAAGCAGTGTGTGGACTCCAATGCCTATGTGGCCTCTTTCCCTTTTGGCCAGTGTATGGAGTGGTACACCATGAGCAGCTGCCCCCGTAAGTGAAGGCAGCTCAGGCACTCCTGAGGGCCCTGTGTGGGCACCACTGCTCTGGCTGTGGGGCAGCATTATCAAGCTTTGAACGTTGTAGGGCTCAGAGTAGACTTGATGTTCTGTTTAACTCTGTCCAGAGGCTGCCGTTAAGACAACCTTCCTGATATGAACCTTTCTACAGAATCAGGCACAATGATACAAATAAATAAATGTAGGCAAGATTGCAGAATACAGAGAATTTCCCTACTTCTCCCATTTCTATCCTCTCTCCACATCATAATCTCCTAATTCACATGTACTTTCTCTCTAGTTAGTGCTCTCCAGTTTGCCTCTAATCTTTGCAGATTAAGAGAGGTTCCTTTCTTACGTTGGACAAGATATTGGGGTTTTAAAATCATTGCCTCAAATGAAGAATCACAATAGGATAGGAATTTTGACTTATAGAACTTGTATAATGAAAAAAAAACCTAAGTACAATGAATTTACATCTACATGTCACAGTGAATTGTCATTTGTGTTTGTTTTTATAGCTGAAAATTGTTCAGGCTACTGTACCTGTAGCCACTGTTTGGAGCAACCAGGCTGTGGCTGGTGTACTGATCCCAGCAATACGGGCAAAGGGAAATGCATTGAGGGCTCCTACAAAGGACCAGTGAGGATACCGTCACTTGCCTCTACAGGCAGTTCCTACCCACAGCCCCTTCTCAATTCCAGCGCGTGTCTCGAGGACGGCAGATACAACTGGTCTTTCATTCAGTGTCCAGGTAAGCTGCCATCGGTGTCCAAAAGCAGGTGTCGCACCACCTGGTTATGAAGAATAGGAACCTCCTCTAAGGAAAAATAGAAGTAACATCATTTTAGGAAAAGTCATTTAATGTGAAAAATATATGTATATTTTTAATCATTTTATTGGGAGCTCTTACAGTTCTTGTTACAAACCATACATCAATTGTGTCTGACACATTGGTACTTATATTCCATCATTCTTTCCTAGACATTTATTTTCCATTGAGCCCTTGGGATCAGCTCCTCCTTTTTTCCCTCCCTCCCCACTCCCAACCCTCATGGGCCCCTGATAGACTATATATTTTAAGTTATTTTCAAATCTCTCTCCAACCACTATCTCCCTTCCCTTCTGGTTTCTGTTGGATAAGTGTTGGTCTGCCACAGGGTCAGCAGTTCAAGCCCACCAGCCATTCCTTGAGAGATTTATAGCCTCTAGACCAGAGGATGTACACTGGTACATATAGGAACTGGAAACAGGGAATCCAGGAAAGATGAACCCCTCAGGTGAGACTGAGGACCAGTGGTGAGAGTGTCGATACTGGGAGGAAGGAGGGAAAGAAAGGGGGAATTGATCACAAGGATCTACATATAACTCCCTCCCTCGGGGTTGGACAGCAGAAAAGTGGGTGAAGGGAGACGTTGGGCAGTGTAAGATATGACAAAATAATAATTTATAAATTACCAAGGGTTCACGAGGGAGGAGGGGCGGGGGGAATAGGGGGAGGGGAAATGAGCTGATACCAAGGGCTCAAGTAGAAAGCAAGTGTTGAGAATGATGATGGCAACAAATGTACAAATGCGCTTGACACGATGGGTGGATGGATGGATTGTGATAAGAGTTGTACAAGCCCCCAATAAAATTATTTTTTTTAAAAAGATTTATAGCCTCAAAAACTCTACATAGAGTTGCTATGAGTTAGAATCAACTCAATGGCAGTAGGTTGGGTTGTCTTCAATCTATGTTACAAATAATTATCATCTAGAGCAGTGGTTCTCAACCTTCCTAATGCCACAATCCTTTAATATAGTTCCTCAGGTTGTGGTGACCCCCAACCATAAAATTATTTTAGTTGCTACTTCATAACTATAATTTTGTTATTGTTATGAATCGGGCGACCCCTGTGAAAGGGACTTTTGACCCCCAAAGGGGTCACAACCCACAGGTTGTGAACCGCTGATCTAGCGTATGTAATACCTACATGCTCAGGGTGGGGAAATTTCAACTGCAGATAAAGTAGGCAAGGACATAAAGACACTATTTTTTTTTTTGACACTATTCTTAATAAAGGAAATAGGAACCTGGGAAATGTAAATTAAAATGAGGAACCAGATTTTTATTGGTCAAACTGGATTAGATTTTCTGTGGCCCACCCCGAGATTTTAGAAAATCATTTCTATTCTAGTAATGGTTAGCATTTCTATGAAGTATTTAAGTCTGTGTTTTTTCATTATTATCGAGATTATATCAGACAAAACAACCACCATGGAATTGGAGAAAACATTTACAAGCCAGATACTGGTAAGGGATTAATACCAGAACATGTTAGAGCTCTTAAAACGCAACAAGAAGGTAGACAACCCAATTTTTTAAATGGGCAAAGGACATGAATTGACATTTCTCCCAAGAAGATATATACAAGTGATTATTAAGCACATAAAAAGATGTTCAACATCATTAATCGTTTGGGAAATGCAAATCCAAATCATGAAAGACCCACTAAAACCCACTGCTGTCAAATTCATTCCAACTCATAGCACCCCTGGAGGACAGACTGAGACTGCCCCATCAGCTTTCGAGGGCTATCTCATCGTTCTCCCAGAGTGCTTTGTGGGTTTGACCTTTCAGGTTAGCAGCCTAGCACTTTACCCACTGTGCCATCAGGGCTCCTCAGACCCACTAGGACAGCAGTTCTCAATCTGTGGGTCCCGACCCCTGTGGAGGTTGAACAACCCTTTCACAGGGGCCGCCCAATTCATAACAGTAGCAAAGTTACAGTTATGAAGTAGCAACAAAAATAATTTTATGGTTGAAGGGTCACCACAACATGAGGCACTGTATTACAGGGTTACAGCATTAGGAAAGTTAGAACCACTGCACTAGGATGATTATAATAAAACAGATGGCCAATAACAAGTGCTAATGGGAATGTAGAGATATTGGAACTTTCATATGCAAGGCTCCAAAAAATTTGTGGAGAATTTAATTCTCTTTCAGTTCCATTTTTCTGCTAACTTTTTAAAGCACTCATATATTGTTTGAACTCCCAGCCTTGCAGGTAGCAGCCCAGGATTTATCTCAAGCTCTACCAGGGCTCCTCAGCACTCTCATATATTGTTGATGGGAATATAGCTTTGGAAAACCGTTTGGCAGTTCTTTTAAAAGTTAAACGTAGAGTTATGATCCAGCAATTTCATTCTAGATGTATATCCAAGAGAATTGAAAGCATGTGTCTAAACAAAAGCTTATATGCAAATGTTCACAGCAGCAGCATTCACTGTGGATAGAAAGTGGAAACAACCTAGATATTTGTCAACTGACAAATGAAGTTTTTTTAATGTGGTAGTCATTCAGGAGAATAACACTTGGCAATAAAAAGAATGAAAGTACTGACATGTTACCATATGGATTAACCTCAAAAGCGTGCAGCATGAAAAAAGCCAGATGCAAAAAGCTATACATGTATGAGATTATTTTTGTGAAATGTTCTAAAAAGACTAATTTAGAGGCAGAAAGTACATTAGTGGTTGCCTAGGGCTGAGGGTGGAAGTAGTTGATAGGAGTAAAGCTGTATCATTTTATTTACTTATTTTTTAAATCATTTTATTAGGGGCACATACAACTCTTATCACAATCTGTATATACATCAATTGGGTAAAGCACGTTTGTACATTGATTGCCCAACATTTGCTCTCCACGTAAGCCCCTGGCATCAGCTCCTCATTTGTTCCCCTCCCCCCTCTCTCATGAACCCTTGATAATTTATAAATTATTATTATTCTGTCATATCTTACACTGCCCAATGTCTCCCTTCACCCACTTTTCTGTTGTCCATCCCCCAGGGAGGAGGTTATATGTAGATGCTTGTAATCGGTTTCCCCCTCTCGACCCCATCCTTCCTCCACCCTCCCGGCATCGCCATATTCGCTCACCACTGGTCTTGAAGGGATCATCCGCCCTGGATTCCCTATGTTTCCAGTTCCTAGCTGTGCCAGTGTACATCCTCTGGTCTAGCCGGATTTGTAAGGTAGAATTGGGATCATGATAGTGGGGGGAGGGGGGCAGCCTTCAGGAACTAGAGGAAAGTTGTGTTTCATCATTGCTGCCCTACACCCTGGCTGGTTCATCTCCTCCCCTCTGCCCTTCTGTAAGGGGATGTCCAGTTGCCTATAGATGGGCTTTGGGTATCCGCTCTGCACTCCCCCTCATTCACAATGATATGATTTTCTTGTTCTGATGATGCCTGATACCTGATCTCTTCGACACCTCGTGATCGCACCAGGCTGGTGTGCTTCTTCCATGTGGGCTTGGTTGCTTCTGAGCTAGATGGCCGCTTGTTTACCTTCAAGCCTTTAAGACCCCAGATGCTAAATCTTTTGATAGCTGGAAGCTGTATCATTTTAAAGTGTTGGCAACAATGTTACCCATATCCTTAACATCACTTGGAATTGTCCATCTATTTTATTATAGACAGTCTAAATGATAACTGTTTCTAGTTTTGATTTCCATTTCCCCAATGACTAGTTAAGCATCTTGTTCATCTCTCTCTCTCTCTTTTTTTTGGAGAAATGTCTATTCTTGGTCTTAGCCCGGTATTAAATTGTGCTGTTTTTCATTTTTTATTATTGAGTTGTAAGAGTTCTTTATGAATTCAAGATACAGGTACCTTATTAGATATATGATTTACAAGTATTTCCTCCTGTCATTTGGATTTTCTTTTCCTTTCTTAATGGTTTCTTTTGAAATTCAAAAAGTTTTACGTTTTTGTTAAGTCTCGCTTATCAATGTTTTGTTTCATCTCATGTGCTTTTATTGTCCTATCTAAGAAGTCATTGCCTGACCCAAGATAGAAAGATTTAGTCCTCCCTTTTCTCTTGGGCAACAGAAGGGTGGGTGAAGGGAGACGCCGGGCAGTGTAAGATAAGATATAATAATAATGTATAAATTATTAAGGGTTCATGGGGAAGTGGTGGGGGGGGAGGAAAATGAGCTAATTCCAGGAACCCAAGAGGAAAGCGAATTTTGAGAACGATGAGGGCAACAAATGTATAAGTGTGCTTTACACAACTGATGTATGTATGGATAGTGATGAATTGTGTGAGTCCCAATAAAATGATTTTTTTTAAAGTTTCGTAAATGTATCACTTATTTCTGATTTTTGTGTATAGTATGAGGTAGGGAACCAAAATTTATCTTTTTATACATGGATATCCCAGCACTATTTGATGATCACACCTCTTTTAACACTAACTTTTCTTGGCATATTCATTGAAAATCTCCTGAGTGAAAGAGTTAGAATTTATTTCTGGACTTTTACTTAATTCTGTTCCATTGATCTCTTTTGTCTTATGTCAGTACTACAGTGTTTTGATTGATATATGTTGTAGAAAGTTTTGAAATTGAGAAATCAAAGTCCTTCAACATTGTTCTCAGTTTTCAAGATTGTGATGCCTATTCTAGATCCTTTAAATTTCCATGAAATTTAGGATGAACCTGTCACATTTTATCCCCAAAAAAGCCAGCTAGAATTTTATAAGGATTAAGTTATACAACTATAAAACTATGTATAGAAAAAAAAATACTGAAAAACATGCCAAACATGAAAATGGTTTCTGGGTGATGGGATTGTATATGATTTCACCTGTCCATGTATTTTTCAATTTTGCTTTCATGAACATCTTATCATTTTTACAGTGAATAACAATAAATTTTTTTTTTAATCGCCATGGACCTTCACCTTGCTGTGGTATATTTCTGATCTTCCTAGATACTTCTTTTGGATGTTTTGGGTTTTGTTTTTAAAGATCATTTTATCGAGTGCTCCTACAGCTCTTATAACAATCCTTACATCAATTGTGTCAAGCATACATGTAAATATGTTTCCAACACTATTTTCTAAACATTTATATTCTATTTGAGTCCTTGGTATCAGCTTCTCTTTCTACCCTCCCCCCCATTCCACTCTTGTGGCCCCTTGATAAATTATAAATTATTGCTGTTTTCATATCTTTTTTTTTTTCTTTTTTAACATTTTATTAGGGGCTCATACAACTGTTATCCCAATCCATACACACATCAATTGTGTAAAGCGCATTTGTACA